GACGCTACTGAGGTCACTCCATAGAGATAGTATGAAGTACTGTCTGGTTGGTACACTCAGAGCCCTGATGCTGAAAGCTGTAAGAGACTATAGAATTCAACCTATAGTACTTTCACTCGTATTACACTTGAATTGCAATTCTTATGGTGTTACTTACAGAGAAGCAGTTTGTGAGAGCTGGCAATAATCAGGAAGTTCTGACTCATCTCAGACACAGGAAAGCCAAGGTTTTATATTTTAGTGTTCATATAGGCTTCATCGTTGCTTCACAGATGGGGGTGGGGACAAGATTGAGTGCAGAAAAAAGCCTTAGTTTTTAAGTCAAGTACCTACCCAAAAAAAAAGGTCTCTCTCCAAGTTAACAAACAAAGGCATAACAAGATCTGGTAGTTGGAAGGTGGCATAAGAAAAATCCAAACTAGAAATAAAAGACAATTCTTGAACTGTGAAAATAAATAACTTAGACCAAAATCTATGGTTCATTCAAGAACCACCTCAGAGTTTGTCATCAAACCATTTTTCAAATGTTTAAAAACCTTAACTTCATTTTTGTGAAAAGACTGAGTTTTCAGGAAATAAACTTATAAAAAATTCCTGCAAAAAGTAACTAGCGCTTTATGGCAAACTCAAGTTATTCATGTGGAGGTCTTTAAACCAGGAGGTTGGCTATCTTTGAGACATGCTCTAGGAAGTTGTTCCCAAACTTCTTGGGCTCACAGACTAGTTTCATCCTTCAGGATTTCAGCAGACCACTAGGCATACTTAGCATTACATTTTTATTAAAGTTACTGTAAAGGCATATAGGGCCTCCTGAAGTGATCTACAGACCAGCTGCAGAACATTCACTAGGGTCTTGTGCTCCAGTTTGGGAACCACTGGTTTAAATCAACTACAAGCTTTTGGGTTTGGTAGTGTTGTTTACACAGTAAGGATGGAAAACTTCACTGCAAAATTCTCCACTTATAAAATTCTGTTACCTATAGGAGGGACTGGCAACCTTTTACAAGCTGTGAGCTGGAATAACCCAACTCTAGTCCCATGTGAGCCATGTGGCTTCTGCAGTGCATCAGCGATGAGGAAGGCGGGGGGCGGGGGAAGGCAGTGGGAAAACTGTAGCCACACTTCCTCCAGCCCTCTGGCTCCAGTGTAGGCCTAGCTTCCAGCTGGTGGGAAGCTGCACTGACACCAGGTACCTGCAAAAAGTCTGTGCTGCTGTTTCTCCTTGCACCCCCTCCCAGCCAACACCTTCAACACCCCCCAGCCATAGTGCAGGCATAGATGGAAGCTGTCTGGCTCTGGTGCAGCTTCCCACCAGCTGGAAGTTATGCTCATGCCCTAGGTGGGGGGAGCAATGGCAGTGTGGGTATTGACCCCAGCTGCCCAGCTCTGGAGTGGGTGCAGGGAAAACCCTCCATCACTGATGTGCTACCAAATCCCCTCGGCCCATGGTGAATCAGTGTTGGAAGGGTGCGGAGAAGTGGCAGCAGCGCGGGTGAAGGTGGAAGCTGTGCAGCTTTGGCACAGGCACAGCCCTCCAGATCTATAGCTCTGATCCAGCAGCTCTACAGGCTGCATGTTGCCAACCCCTGGCCTATAGCAGTGTTTCCTAACTTTTTTTGCCTCACAGCACACTTACCTAAGTATAAAAGCACCACAGTACACCAGATGCGGAGCTGGGGTGGGGGGTGGCGCGCAGCCAGCCGGTTACCAACCAGGGGGGCGGTGGCCAGCGGGACACTGATGAGAGGGGTGGTGCACAGCCAGCCGGACAGCATTTTGAGCTGGAGCCACACTCCCCATCTGTCTGTGTCCACAGCAGCAGCAGGAGTGGAGAGTGCCTCCAGCCAAGCCGGGGGTGAGGCTTCAGCCCAAAACGCTGTGGCACACTGGTTGGGAAATGCTGGCCCATGGTATGCAACAGATGATCGTAGGTTCTTTCTACATCTACGGCCTGGTCCTACAAAAAAACTTATGCAGCTGCTTGATTTTGTGGACTGCAGGTGTGTCTTCACATGCATTTATGCCAGCTTACATTTACTGCGCAGTAAGCAGGAATAGGTTGGTGTCTACACGTGCAGGTGTTAAAGCACATTAATGCGGTGTGTGGACTGACTTGTGACTAAAGTTAGTCCCAAGTCAGTCTACATACCCAGTGTTACTGCACAGTAAGGTGTCTACACGAGTTACTGTGCAGTAACTATTTGGGTGTAAATTTGATACCTGCATACGCAAATCAGTGGCACAATTCACCATATTTACTGTGCTATATGGACGTGCACGTGTAGACGTGTGGGTGTACTGTGCAATAATTTCAGTTACTGCGCAGTAAATGCACGTGTAGACATGCCCTGTGAGTAATTTCAGTGACATCAGAGAGCCTATTTCCTGTGTAAAATTAAAGTACCCATTTATGGTTTTTGCAGAATCAAGGCATTGAATTGTGAATTTTTCTTCTTAAGTTTAGTAGGTGGTAGGCTCTGCATTCGTATATTTACCAAATAATGATCTGGATTCAACAGGTTTTCATTTTGTTTCTATAATGACTTGTGTTCATTAAACTTACACATATTATACAAAAAAGAGAATGCTAGTTTTTACTAGGACAACAATGCTGCACTGATGCTGGCAGTGTATTGAAAAAACAAGCTGTTGGAAGCATGGGTAGCTTCATATAAGAACTCTGCAAGATGTGTACCTTCACGGAGGTCTTCTTGCTTGGAGTCATTAAATACAAAAGCTCTCAGATTCCAGGAGGGAACCACCCTCCAATTCTAATCAAATAAAGTTATAAGAACAAGTTCTAGAAAGAAGACTAACATTCAGAAATTAAGCCTGATGGACTGAATCACAACCTGCTTGCTTTAAGCAAGGTATTAAGAGGAGGGATATTGCCACCTAGTGTATACTCAAAAATACACAAAACTAAAAGCTAGTATCTTGGGACACAGACAGCTGTAAAATTACCCCACTGTAAAGGTGTATGGTGAGGGAGAAGGAAGTGGGGGGGCAGTGCACACACCCTGTGAAGACACAGCTATTAGGCACAGTTGTTTTGTTTGTCCACTCCTACCCCACAGAAAGTGAAACTGCACTTTGACAATTTATCCCATTTCATACAGGGATAGGCTACCAGCTCCACTTAGGACTCCCATACGCATGCAGGGAGGTTGCTCCGATGTGCTGTAATTACAGTGTGTCAGAACAGATTCAATGGAGTCTGCTAGAGCGTGGTAATTACTGTGCTCCAGCAGACTCCAGCATCACGTGTTTCAGTGTCCCTGCACTGAAAATTGGTGGCGAGGTGCTTTAAAGCTTGTTTGAGGAGCTATAACTCAAAACGTCGCACTGCCATTTTTCAGAGTGGGGGCGCTGATACGCATGATATTCTGGGCCCTTTAATTAGTGCAGCTCTTGGAGCTGCGCTAATTAAAGTGCCTTTTTCCACCCCCTGCTCCACCCCCAGGAGAACATCTATAAACACCCTCTGCTCTTAGCTCACAAAACAGTTGCACCAAATTCAGCTGTAGGCTGGTAAGCCTGCAGTCCCCTATTAAAGCTGTGCAAGTGTTTTACCTGTCCATGCCCCTGCATTAATCTGCTTCTTCAACCTATTGGCGAGTGAAACAGGGATATGGTTGTAGTATGTTAACAGCACCCTGAAAAAGATAAATGGCAGAACTAACATGTTTACTTAAGAGGAAGTTGTCTGCAGAGTATATCTGATGACAGAACTATTAAGATGATTACGATTGGACCGCAAGAAGTATTGAGGCCTGAAGTAAATAAGCACGTGAAACAAAATCAGGCAAATAAAGAAGGCAGAAATGACATGGCATGTGCTTACAATAATTGTTATCTGTAGCTGTGGCTTGAGTTACTTTTTCTTCTTATAACCAAAGATCCTGCTAAACCATCCTGCATGCAACACAAGCATTTCAGTAGTGGATCATTGCACTATGCTATTAAGCAATCTCTATACAAGGTGAATTTTTACAACAGGCTAAGCAACCACATAGATGCTTTTCTTTCCCTTCTCATGTTTTAAGCTGGTGTTCTCTCTCATAGCAAGGAACTGGAGAGTCTAAACAGCTCTGCTTGGTTTAACTTGCTTTACTCCTAATGAGCCACCTCAAGAGTGACATGGGTGCAGCTCATTAAGGAATCATGCAACTGAGTGGAATTTGACCTTCCACCTCTCCCTAGAGGACTCTGAGGCATCCTTCCTCTAGAATAGTGGTCCCCTTTTTGTACCAGGAACCATTTGTAAACATCAATGGCACGTCTCGACTCAGTGCCCCTCACTCACAACCCACTGCTTCCAGGCCCCGGCCCTCCAGTGTGTGGGGCAGGGTGGGGTGTGTGTGGGGCACAGGGGCTCCAAGCAGCCCCTTGCAGACTGGAATTGTACCAGCCTGCAAGGGAAAAGCCATGGTTTCCCATGTTTTTCTCCTTTAAAGGAGAATCCATTTTTAAAGTTTATTGATTCATTTTTAAAGTTTGTTTGCAACCCTTTCATATATTCTTGCAACCCACAGGTTGAGAAACTGCTCTAGAAGCAGAGATTAGATTGATGACAAGGATTTAGTACTGTGCTTACAACATGCTGCAGCTTAACCTACTAGTTTATCACTCTGGCTTCTAATTCCACAGGTGGAAATTCTTTTTAAATCAGTCAACATAAACTTCTAAGCTTGCTTATTTTCACCATCCCTGCCAGCTTCTTTATGGCTCTTGCATTTCATGTGAACAAACTTTATTTCTTGGCAAGCAGCCTTACTGTGCACTGGAATGTGTATTCACCATGAGTGACTCTCTATGCCTTGTAAGCAACAATAAGGGAATGAGCAAAGTTTAGAGGGAATTGTCTACCCTAGCCAAGCACTGTTGGGATGAATAGCTGAGGAACACTGGGTTTTGTTTTACCAGTTTCCTTTTCCATGGAATCTTTGAGTGGTTTCTTGTTAAATTTTGCATTTGCTGTATACCACTACATCAGAATGTATTCAAATTTACATTTATTCAGTTGCTCCACAATTGTGAAACACCATTCAGGAAAAATGCAGATAATTTCTGCAACGGGAAACCCATCTAAATGAGTGGAAAGGCATACAATATTTGGGGAGAAGGGGAGGTTTTAAGCAACTTACATTTAAATGTCAATATGCACTGGAACATTCAGCCGAAATGAAGAGTGTAACATGCTGTAGTGCCTAACAAGTGAACTAGCTCCGCAGACAGAAAATTGGCAAGACAAACTGGATCCTGTTTTCTAACTCCAGTTCTTCACATTAAGAAATTCTAATCAACTTCACACAATAAGTTGGCACCAGACCTGCTTAAATGATTTCCTAGAGATTGATTTATTTTTTCAGACCAAAAACAAATTTAAACATATTTTTTCTAAGAACAAGCTGTGTAACCGTTACAAGTGTCATGGCATCCTACATTTATTTATGCATTTCCTCTGAGTAGCCCAAAATTTGAAAAAGAGGTCAAACTTTGAAAAAGTTTGAGTCAAAATGAGCATCAGCCCTTGCGAATGAGACAGGGCTCTGTTTAGTGAGAGAAAAAAATCCAATAGGGATAGCCTCTCCCTTTTTCTAGAACAAGAGTGTAGACATCTGTGGAATTTTGCAACTTCAAAACTTTGCATGTAAAACTGAGACAAGTTTCGCAGCCTCCTAAATTCTGTGCTCTCTAAAAACGAAGCGGATCTCCTTTCACAACGTAAGTGCAATGTCAAGGTACTCAGAAGCAGAGAGGCAAGCTTCTCCTAGTCACAGGACATTTTCCTTCATCTGCAGAGGACTCTAGAACAAAAAAACCCACAAATCAGTAACACTTCACAAATATAGTTCAGCTATTTATCAGTTGTAACTACTTGGAGATTAGTTACTTTTAAGATGTGTTTCTATTTTATGATGTTATTACTTGCTCTGAAACAATCATGCACCTATTCTTTTATGTTAGAGCAAATCAAAGAAATTTCCACCTCTGGACTAGAGGAAACAATCTCCTAGTGTTATATGCTAAAATCTAGAAAAAACAGACCTTTTGTGACCACAGACACTAGAACTAGTAAAATAACTATTTTGGCCATCCAGTCACATCTTTGTGATAACAGAACTGTTCCATTCAGTTCGTGTCTACTGCCTTTCCAGTCTAATTCTTTGAGGGGAAACTTATATTGCCTCTCCACTGCAGATCAAACCCTATCTAAACCCAGCAGTTAAAACAGATTATAGGCTGTCTGGACCATCCAGCTCTCAGGCACTACCCTTAAGCCCTTCTCTTAAGCTCCTGTCGCTGGGCTTGAGCACACTCAAGCAGGAGCAAGGGGCATTACATTTTTTCCTGATGTTAGTACCGTATTTACTTGCATCCGCTCCTCTCCCAAAAAAACAGCCCTCCAAAATTAGGGCATGACTTCAGCAGGGAAGCCAATTTTTTTTTGCTGGAATAGAAACATGGAAAACAGAAGTACAGATGCCATGCTGTAATGGCAGCTGCTTCTCTCTGGGCCAGCAAGCAACAGGGGCAGAGTCCCATTTTAACCCTCTTGCAGCCATTTTCCAATTTAACTCCGCAATTCAGCAGCAGCTGCAAGGGGGTTAACATTACAACTTTGCCTGAAGCAGCCAAGTGAACTGGTTGAGGGTGGTTGAGCTGTTGCATGCATTCAGCGCTCTGCCATGACTGTAAATTTTCACGCCCCCACTACATTCTCTCTTCCAAAAGCAAGGCGAGTTCCTTGGGGGGAAGGGTGGAGTATTCAAGACTATGTCATTAATTTTTTCCCATTATTCTAAATTCCACTCCCTCTACCCAGAACCATATGAAACAACTTCTTCCTTCATTGATATGTACTTGTAGGTACAAGCATTTACTCCTTAGCTGGGCATGAACAAGACGTACTGATAATATTTTTGTACATTATTCAAGAGTTGATACTTCCAGCTCTCTGACCATAATTGTTCCTTTTCTTGTTTACTCCCCCAAATGGAAAGGGGGGTGGGAGGGGAGAGGGGAGGAGTGGCATTAAAAAAAGAAATAAAGTGCCTAAAATTTAATGTCAGTGCGATTCTGAGTCTTGGGTCTCCTTGTTGTGTCATAGCTCTTACCTAATATCTTACTCCCTTCTTCCTCATTTGTTTCCAGTATTACTGTTAGTTTGATTTTCCTTCATGAGTGTTGTGTTTAGAGTGAACTTTCTGCTAACACTTTCCAGTCTTTTTTTTTTTTTTTTTACTGGAGATGCTCATTAGAGTCCTTGTGTTATTTACTTGACCATGTAATAAGATACAAATCTACCTGAAAGGAGGCCCAACATTAAAGATCTGATGGCCCACCCCTACACCACCTATTCACTGCTTTCCCCCACAGCTGTTCATTCTCATTTATCATTTCCTTTTACTTTAGTTTTCATTCCATTTAACATTGTTCTTATGAAAATACAGTTTGGTTATTTGCTGATCTTTAACATGACATTGTACCTGCTCTACCAGAACTTAGCTATAATACACTGCACTGCCTGTGTTACCTGTTGATACAGTTGTACCTACAAAGGCATTAAATGTATTGGCCAGAATCTGTCCTATGTACATACTTACATTTGCTTATGAGGCTACAAAAATGATTATTCCTACTTTTGATATCTTGCTGCTCCTGCCAACACAGCACTGGAATTATTGGTGACTGCAAATGGCAGACATCAGGAACACACCCAAAGGTATACTAAGGACAGAAATAATGTTTACTCAGTTTGTCAGGCTGTGCACCTCAGATGGCACTAACTCGGATTTAAAATTAGTTTAATCCTATTTAAACATATACTTCGAGCGTTCCCACCCACCAGTGTATTAATTATACAGTCTTAAAACAAACTAACAGAAAGTTTGCTAGATATCCCTCTTTTTTACCCATGCTGTATAAGAATTATACAGTGAATGAATTGGTTGTTGGTTGTAGCCATCTACCCAAAGAACCCTGCTTGACAGTGAATGAATTACACATACACACATACACATGCATACACAATGCTCGCTCTTCTCAGCTCAAGACCAACAGTGTATCAACATATTGAATTTGTCACTGTAATGGGTATATAGTAGGGCTGTGCAGAGCAAGTAATATTCGATTCGACAGCCATGTCGAATATTAAACCGGGTCCCGCTTCGATTTGCTGTCCGCTTTGAGTCGAAGCGGGTCTGCTTCAACTTGAGGTTGAAGCTCAGTTGAATATTCAAGCTGCTTTGACTTCCCCATAGGCTATAATGGGGAAGGTCAAAGCAGGCTATAACTTTGGCATTTCTTGTCTGATCTTGATGAAACTTG